GGCTACCCCTTGCGCTAGCAACATGTATTGGCTGCTAGGGGAAATGCAATATGCATCTTGCTCTTTAGAGCGCCTCGCTCACGTGGCATAGGAGACGTCACGATAGAGCATTGTCTGGACATGACAAGCTTAATAAGCTGGTTAACCAATCGCTCCTTCCGTATTCCACGGCTACATATTTTTCCGTGCTGTTGGCTCTTCCGTTTGGCGGCCTGAAATTGAGTCGCCTAATCCATCGGAATGTCAGGAACGACAAACTCCCCTTCGGCTCAAATTGATCCTCATCGTCGCCCAAGGCATTCCTTCCATACACCGTCGATACTTGGGTAGCCATCGGGCTGCTGGTGTCGCATTCATCGATTGTAGCGCGGCCTAGAGCTGGACTAGGCAGACCTAGTACGAGTGATCATCGCATCCCGGAGTAAACATGAGCGTGGAGAGTTTGAAATGAGGGGATGACGAATATAGAGTTTGCGGAGTAAATCCTCTGCCGTCATACTGGAGTGCGATCGCGCCGTTGGTCCGCTCCGTATACACCTGCCGCAAGTTCACCTAGCTGACCGTATTGACGGTTGAGTCTACCTCATCAGAGGCAAGGGCCAACGTGGAAGGTTTTGCATATGTCAGCCTCTAAATTCATGGCGCGCGGAAAGCCTGAGCCATGCCACCTTTAGTTATCAGCTCTTTCGAGACCCAGATGCAAGCAAATTCTGTAAGATTATCCATGAAAACTACAGTTGCCGCAATGTTATACAGAACACATCCCGCGAAGCGCTTCAGCTCCCTATCTATGCCGCGTCTCCGTAACAAATCTTCGTAGCCTTCTCCATATCCACCACCCCATCCCCATCCATAATCTCCTCCGCCCTCAAATAAAACAACGACCACGTCTCATTCAACTCCCCCTCCTGCATATGAACCTGAAACATCAGCGCATCCCGATAGCTAATCCGCCACTCATACCACGTCCTCGCTTTGGGCGGAAGCACCCATTCGTTATTCGGCCCCAAGCGCATAGTCCTCTCACAGTACGTATAGGCCAGGAGAGTTTCATCTTTTGCACTACGCGCATCGGCGACGAACATGATATTTTGGTTTATGAAGTTTACGCTGTATTGGTTGCGTAACAGCCAGTCTTTGCATTCTGATGTGGAGGTGAAGGGGGAGGGAAAAGAAGGGCTGGAGGGCTTTTTGGTGTAGTCGGTGCGGGCCTTGGGACTGGCTTTGGAGGAGGCGATGTAGAAGGGGGAGAAGTCGGAGGGCATGTTGTGAGTGGCTTTGTGGACGAACTGGGATGGGTGTTAGGCTTGTGAGAGGGGTGGGGTTGGGAAGAGGTAGGACTTGCGGGCTTCGCTTCCTCGGCGATGCAGAATAGCATCACGCCTGTCATCTTGAGGAATGATGTAGTCTCCTGGCTTGTTTGGAGTGAGACCGCCGGTGTCAGGCACTACCTGCTTAGGTAGGTAAGAATGAAGATGTGACTGTGGCTGGCCTTGAGCATGTGAGCGGCCGTGGTGTCACGAATTTTCAAGGGACGCAAGACTCATAACGATGTTGACAACGAGGCGTAAACTTAAATATAAATCCTTCATAGAGCGTTGGTTGAGATGCATCTAAAGAACCGCCATTGGTCGGGTGCCTTTAGGATGTGGGGTCGTGATGACGTACAGGCAGTACATGGACGCCTAAAACGCATTTCAACGATCAAAGTCACTGGGACGGTGTAAGCATGTGATGTGTGTCTGGTATCTAATGGAATGAAATTACAACTACAGACCTCGGGAATCAGGAAAACTCTGAAGTAAAGTTGAAGCTGCAATAACCTGACCGTCGTTGTCGAAAGCAACATGTCAACCTAGACAGACCACCTTCTGCATCTCCGCCTCCTACAGCCCACCCCCTCCCAAATTCTACCTCCACCAAATCAACTCGCAGACCACTCAACGCCCCCAATTCCCCCTATACAGCCCATCTAGTGCATCGTTCAAGGCGTTCAAGTCACTCCAGTCGCCACTCAGTCTTCCATCCGCACTTACACCTTGAACCTTCCCATTTTTTAGATCCTTCTTAGCTTTAAAAATGAGTACAGACAAGACGATAACGACGATCACCAAGGCCAGAACGATAGTGCAGCAGCAGCAGATGTCTTCCTCAGAATTCGGCTTCCGCTTCGGCGTCGTGAGTGCAGTGCTGCGCGAAAGGGGTGGGGCCTCACCTGCTGGTAGGTGGGTTGTGCGTTGGGCTTCTGCGGCATTTGACTGCAGCGAGGAGAGGGCGATGTTCGTAGTGTTGGAAGCGTTTATTAAATGCGATGCGGCTTCGATGTCGTAGTTTGGGTCGCTGGGTGCGGAATGGTGGTGTGATGAATGGTGGTTTGATGAATGGTGGACGGGCTCTGGTGAGGAGAGGATGTGGTCGTGAGTGTTGTGTGTTGGTGGGTGGGAAGCGGTGCTGCAGAAGTTGTCTGATGCAGTATATGACACATGTTCATGCGTAGAGTAGGAAGGTGGGCAGTCGAACGACTGATCGTATGACGTGAAGGTGTTATCGTCTGACATGGCTACTTTGAAGTCGAAGGTTTTGTGTGAAGGTTGTTTTGAGTTTTGTGAGAGGTGTTGTAGTAGAGGAATTGTGGGTGAAGAAAGTAGTGTTAAAAGTATTGAGATCTTGCCCATAGTGGGTTCTACCATACATTGTAATAGCGAACCATGGGTCTACGATCATGAGTCGTCCACTCCAAACATCAGCATTACCGCCAACGGGGATTTGAGCAGATTACACCGACCTTAGAAAACTTAGGCAGACGCGCAATGACCGCCATCCACTCTGAGGTCGGCACCAGTCATGAATCTACTCCCTTCTGCTAGCAAGAACACTGCGGGTGCTTTGAAGTCATCCGGTACACCAAGTTTCCCAAGCAGTGCGCCAGCCATCCACGTCTTCTCTACATCTGGATCTGCTGCGAGAAGTTCGTCGGTCATCGCAGTTCGGATATACTGTGGATGCATTCAGTATGATGTCTAGATAGCGAGATGCAAATAGACTTACACCTGGCGAAAGCGTGTTCACTCGAATGCCATACTGGCCCCATTCTTGCGCTAGCGAGCGACACATTTGGTGCACAGCTGATTTGCTGGCGTTGTAGGCCGTGCATGTAAGACCCTGAGATTGTTGTTAGATCCACTAAATGCTTCAAGACGGAGGCAATATACACACCCTATTGGCGACCTGACCCGACATACTAGCGATGAGCACGATAGAGCCACCAGTGCCCTTGTCCTTCAGTATCCTCGCAGCTCTTTTGACCGATATGAACGCGCCGACAACGTTCACTCGTAGCATGCGCTCAAAGTCTGATGCTTCGTAGTCGAGCGCTGGAACTCTTTGTTGGATACCCGCGCATGCGACCATGCCATTCAATGGCGCGCCTTGCTCATCAGCCTCGCGTGATATCTCATCAAGGACTTGGGTGACTTCCGCTTCGCTAGTAACGTCACATCTGCGGTATGTTGCTGTAGTGCCCAGTTGCTTCGCGAGCTTTGTCAAGGCTTGCCATTCTGTGTTGCTTGGCTCTGGAAGGATGTCTAGGCAGGCTGCGTGTCCGCCTGCTTCCACGACAGCAAACGCGAGGGTTATCCCGAGTCCGCGACCACCTCCTGTGATGGCGATTGTCTTCCCAGCGAGAGAGAAGAGTGCCGGTGTTTGCGCGGTTGATGTTTGAGTCGTGGATGAGGCAAGAGCGGTAGTGACCGTATTGATGGCTGATGGGCTCATTTTGCTTCGTGGGACGTCAGAATCTCCTGAAGATCAAGGACTGGTGTACGAGAGGGTCTGAATGCAAAGTGTTGATGAACGACGACGCAAGCAGCTTCCATGTATACCGAAGCTCATGGAATATATAGACGCGCATTTTCTCCACATTGGACATAAAAGCCGCATATGTGGAACTGATTCGCTGGAATCTCATCGTCGCAGATCCAGCGAGGCGTGTACGTGGATGGTCGTTGGTGTTGGCAGCTCTGGTGTGGGACCGGAGGTTCATGCAGCTTCCGAGTTGATCGAACGAGCAATCTTAACCGCTGCCAAGAGAAACCACCTCGTTCAAGGTACTGTTAAGCTGCGCATGTGGCTGCCGCATCAGGAAAGACAATGTCGAGGGATGTCGCCGAAGTCTGTTGATTCCTGGTATAATCGTGTTTGGAATGCTCGAAATCAGCAGGTAAAACATATAGATACCCGTGCTCTTGTCTGACGCATTTTTCTACTCTCCCGTCAACAAGACACTTGGTTAAAGAAATCCGCTACATCAATCAGGCAACTTCGAAAGAACCATCGATTGCAGCTGTGCGACGGTGCCCTACCATGCGCGTTGCATGCCGAAGCCACCGCCTTAGGCGACTTCCCGACCACCATGGATCGCTTGTTAACTACTGACAGGCCGTACAAATCCAAGCGGGGTCGTCGTACCCTGCAAGCTCACCACCCGAAAATACCACGTTGGGCAAGTTCAGCAAAAACCATCGATCACAGCTGCCCTTTCGTGCCCTTTCCACGCGACGCCTACAGATCCATCCAATGACCGTCCAACGCCGTCGTGCCCTCTGTGCCCCCTCATGCACGCCACCGGAACCTCAAACTACTCTGTACAGTAACTTCCAGCCCACCCATCGATTCCCCCGGAGCACGTACATGTGCATACGTCTCTTTCAAGACACCGCCGCAGGAAATACGCGTTGTAGCGTCGTACGTCCAGGCGGTGAGGGTGGTTCACGAGACCCTCCATTGAGGCTGAATGACGTCGTTTGCTCCGCGCGTGCATTGAGCTTATCGAAGCACCTGTCACCGATGGGACCCGACACCGCTTCCACGATATACACAAACTTCCTCTGCCAGCATGATCCCTTTATCCTAGATCTCCTTTTGCCTGTCTCTCTGTGTTGTTCTCTTCCTGCGCGTTCAGTCCCTGCATATCCAGCGTCCAGCTTTCAGCGTGTCGAGTCATGTCTTTCCTTCAGCAAGTCCGCAACACGACGCGGCGCTTCCGCCGCACCCAGCTGCACAACATCGAGACGATAAAATCCCAACCGTTGGCCGAACTATCTGGTTCGCTGGGTGATCTAGGCACATTACTCCCGCTCATGACTACCCTCGTCCTGACAAACTCGATATCGCTCCCCTCAACCCTTCTCTTCACCGGCGCAGCAAACGTACTCACAGGCCTCGCCTTCGGCATTCCACTACCAGTGCAACCGATGAAAGCCATTGCAGCAGTAGCAATCGCACGCCAATTCACGCTGGAACAGAATGCCGCTGCGGGGCTAGTGGTCGCGGGCCTGGTCGGTGTATTCAGCATCACAGGATTGATTAACTGGGCAAATCGCGTAACGCCCATTCCAGTGGTGAAAGGGATTCAAGTCGGAGCAGGCCTATCGCTATGCCTGAGCACAGGGACAAAACTGCTGTCATCACTTACCTGGACGGGACCATGGTGGGGCGACAACCTCTTCATAGCCATCGCAGCAGTTATGCTGCTACTATGCACATTCCCCTACCCCCGCGTACCCTACGCGATGATAATCTTCCTAATCGGCATCTTCCTCTCCTTCGCATCCCCAACCAACGACAAAGTCTCCGTCCCACACGCCGCAATACCCATTCTGCATCCCTCAGCCAAAGATTTCCTCGAAGCAACAACAACAGCATCGCTCGGCCAACTCCCGCTCACCTTACTCAACTCCGTCATCGCCGCTTCAGCACTATCGTCTGACCTGTTACCCTCACCGCCTTACCCCGCCGCCCCCACCGTAACGGAACTAGGCATCTCAGTCGCGGCCATCAATCTACTCGGCTGCTGGTTCGGCGCCATGCCCGCGTGCCACGGTTCCGGTGGACTGGCCGGCCAGTTCCGATTCGGTGCTCGGAGCGGGAGCAGCATCATTTTCCTGGGGGCAATCAAGTTCATGCTAGGGCTTATTGCGTTCTGGAAAGCGGATGCGATTATCAGCACGTTGCATGACATACCCAAAGCGCTCTTGGGTGTGTTGGTTCTGGCTGCGGGCGTGGAACTCGCGAAGGTGGGGGAGAGTATCAATACCGATGCGCGCGATTTGAGGGTGCTGGAGAGGGATATGACGTGGGATGGGAAGAGGGTCAAGGAGTTGGATGAGAGGGAGAGGAAGGAGAGGTGGATGGTTATGCTTGTTACGGTGGCTGCGTTGCTGACGTTTAAGAATGACGCGGTTGGGTTCGTGAGTGGGTTGGCGTGGCATTGGGGGTTTGTGGCGGCACGGAGGATTGAGATGGGCAGGGCTGAGGAGCCGGTTTGGAGGAGCGTGGGGAGTGAGAGGGGGGAAAGGGCGGGGCTGTTGGCGCATAGTGAGAGTGATACTGTTGCTTAGATGGGGTAGTCATCATATAAGAGTCGTGGCTAGATGCCGCTGGTCTTCATAACATGATACACATGGCATTTCGGAACGGTTTCACAATCACAAACACTTCTAGTAAAAACCATCAAGTTCAACATTCTAGTCATATCAACGTAATGGTACGCAAGCTGGCAAGCGGACCATTGTTGGATTAGGTGAGGTTGTATGTACATACATGTAAGAAACAAAACATGCTTGATAAGATATGTGCTCAGCGCTTGAGCGTATGAGAAACAGTAGATCTAAGTCTTGAGAAAAGGTATAAAAGACATCGCACCAAAACATGTATACAACTAATGTGTCGTCATGCAGCGAGAACGCCCATAAAAAAACGAAAGTACGAAAAGCAGTAAAGCAGAGTCATAAAGGACGATTATGCTTTTTCTGAGATCTCGGTTGCGTGCTGCGGCGGTGTGGTCGTTCCGGTGATGGAAGCGTACCGCGCAGTCTCGGTGTTCTTCTCGGCGTGTTGCTCGGTGTTGGAGTTGAGGCTGCTGCCGACGTGCGAGGGCTGGTCGAGATGCTGCTCCTTGACGGCGCCGGCGTGGGCGCCGACTTCCTTCTTGTTCTTCTTCTCCTTCTTGGGCTTGGGCATGCGGAGGAGGTAGTAGAAGGCGAGGGCGGCGACGACGTTGAAGATGACGTAGACCCAGAGGATGCTGTGAGGTTGAGTTAGTAACAGGTTCGAAATGGAAGATGTAGAGAGAAGTGACTTACCCAAAGTTGCGCCAAGCGTCGCCGTAGTCGGAAGAGATGCTGCGGAGGAAAACATTGGTGTCCTCGATAGCGCAGAAGTTGCAGTCGGTCATGGCCTCGGGGTTGGTCATCTTACCACCGGCAGATGCTTTCCAGGCCTCAATGTATTGACCGCAGTTTTCGCCTTCGCGAGGGTCGAAGTGAATCAACTCGTTCTGCGCGCACTGCACATTGGCGTTGGCTAGGCCGACAGACAGCAATCCAGACACCATGTACGTAAAGGGCGAGACGCGGTACATGAAGATCCAGAAGCGGGGGAAGGTGGAAGGCTGGGCAAGGACACCACAGAAGATCAAGCAGAGAGAGAACATCAAGTTGGCAATGTTGCCACCAGTCTCAGCGGAGTCGATACCAGCGATGACCATGTGTGTGAATGTCGACGTGAAGATCAGGAACATCCAGACGAAGAGGAAGAATTGGAAACCACGGTAGGTGACCTTGTCGGTTTGCGCTGCGTTGTTGTACAGGCCAATGGGGTAGTACCAGCAGAAGTAGATGATCACGGCCATGAGCGAGTTCCATGGGAGTTCGACAGCGATGTTGGAGATCATGAAGGCCTTCCAAGAGTAGGTCTTACTGGGGCGTTCGCGGACCTCGTACAAAGCACGCTGAGTGACGAAGTGAGGCATGATCTGTTGGACCAATTGACCGAAGATTGTCAGCAACATGAAGATACCGAACATTTGGTTCTGGAGACCAGTCTGGGTATTGGGCATCTGGAAGAGGGAGAAACCGATGAAGAGGGCCGAGAGCGTGCAGAGGAAGGTCTTGGAGTAGATGTACGAGGGTGTGCGCCAGTACTGGGTCCAGACACGGGACATGGTCTCGCGAAGTTGAACCATGAAGGGGGCGGCGAACTCGCGATAGGCAGCCTTGTCCTCTCGCTTCTGAGCAGACATGGTGCGTTGAAGAGCCTCGGCTTGGCCACGTTCGGATTTGAGTTCGGCGAGATGGCGCTTGACCTCACGGTACTCAGCGGAGTCGCGCCAGGTCTGGTGCCAGTCGATGTCTGTGTGCGAACCGGGAGCGGCACCAATGACTTCCAACATCCATTCGGCAGGGTTGGCGGCAGGCGGGCAAGGAGGACCACCGTTGCGAACGAAGTAGTCGACGAGGACGTGCGAGTTTTCACCAACATCTCCATAGTAGACAGTGCGTCCACCACGAGCCAGGAAGAGAAGACGATCGAAACGTTGGAACAACATGGCACTTGGCTGATGGATGGTGCAGAGAATGGCCTGACCGTTCTTCTTCAACTTGTCCAAGAGATCGAGAATAGCCCAAGAGGTTTGCGAGTCCAGTCCAGAGGTGGGTTCGTCCAAGAAGAGAAGAAGAGCAGGCTTAGCAGCCAGTTCGACACCGATAGTAAGACGCTTGCGCTGCTCAACGTTGAGACCTTCACCGGGGACACCGACGATGGCATCAGCGTATTCAGTCATCTCCAGAAGCTTGATCACCTCCTCGACGTATTCGACCTTCTCTTGACGAGAGACGTGTGCGGGTTGACGGAGGACGGCAGAGAAGGTGAGGGCTTCGCGGACGGTCGAGGTGGAGAGATGGAGATCTTGCTGCTGAGCGTAACCTGAATTCGAAGTTAGTGTGTGTTCCTAATGTTGGCGATAGTATGGAGACATACCTGTCTTGCGCTGGAAAGAGTCGTCACGAGGCTTGCCATCGACTAGCATCTGACCGGTAATGACACCCATAGTAGTACGTGTAGCCAAGCAATCCAAGAGAGTCGTTTTACCAGCACCAGAGACACCCATAAGCGCAGTCAAAGTACCCGGCTTGACCCATCCATCAACGTGGTCGAGGATACGACGAGGCTCCTTCTTGATAGTGATGTCGTAGCAGACGTCTTCCCACTGGAAGATGGCGGTTTGGCGTTCGATGATGGCGATGTCGTCGGAGCTGTTCTGAACAGAGGCATTGCGTGCAGGTTGAGCGGCTTCCAGATCCTCTTCGGACTTGCTCTTGGGCGCAGGGAGCTTGTGGCTACGCTGGAAGACAAGGACTTCGCCCTTGGACTTCTTGGCGGTGATGAACTCAGTACCAGCGAGGTAGACACCCATGAGACCGAACATGAAGACCCACATGATGCCGAAGTTGCGCCACTTGTTCTTTGCGTAGTAGTTGAAGGCCGAGTTGATGTAAGCATCACCACTAACGAATGGCTGTCCGGGAACAGAGCCGATGGTCCTGCAAGCTTGTTGAACACCAGAAACGTCTTCGTAGCCGGGGCCGAAAGGAATGAACTCGTTGCACTCAAATTGCCTGTTGTGAAACTCGTTGACCATGAGGGCCTCGAAACCGTAACTGACAGGGTTGATGTAGCGGATCCACTTCGACCAGCCCAGCATGTAGCTGGGAGGGATAGCGAAACCAGTGTACATGACGAGACCCAGGATGAGGATGGCAGCGGGTGCGAGAGCCTGGACAAGAGAGCGGGACAGAGAGGCGATGGAACGGAAGAACATAGACATGACGAGCGTCAATGTGAAGGAGATGAGGACGAAGAAGAAGAAGTTGCCGGGCTCTCGTCGGAGGTTCGTCATGAAGTACAGGACCAGGTTGAAGGTGATGGAGTTGACAATCTTGTATGGCATGTCGGTCAACATACTGGCAAAGGCTTCAGCGGACGGGTGGTACAAGGCGTAACGAGAGTGCTTTTCAACAATGGGACGTTGAGCGTAAAGGGTCAGAATCTCGAGGGCGGAACCGAAAGCGTTCATCAGGATGGCGAAGAAGAGAAGGGCGGATCGAGAGTAAAAACTGGAAGTGGTAGGCTGGAGGTTGTAGAAGACGGACGAGATGACAAGACCCATGATGGAGTTGGCGATGAGTTGCGTGATGGTGATACTGGGGTCAGCCTTCAAGCGAACGAAGCCTCGCCACAAGCAAAGCTTAACCTGCTGCATGTACGAGAGAGTGTATGGGGACTTCTCGCGCTGACCCTTGGCCTTCTGAAGCTGGCGCGACTCCTTGAAGCGCTGGCCGGCCTCGCCACCAATGGGGAACTTTTGCTCGTAAGCTTCGATCTCTTGTAGGAGAGCTGCTCGCTCTGCGGACTCGGCCCAGCGCTGCGCGAACTCATCCGGAGTGCGTGGGACACGGTTCTCGAAGCCCTCGCGAACAATACGCTCCAAAGGACTGGTCATGGAAGTCAAGAAATCGGCATCGGTCTGACGGTCAGGGCAAAGGAAACCCATGTTGACGAAGAAGGCCTTCGCGTCGGTGGTCTTTCCGAAGAAGATTTGGCGACCCTCATAGAGCACGAGTACCTTGTCAAACAGGTCGTAGGCAGCCTGAGGTGCCTGGTAGATGGCGACACAGGCAGTGGTACCGTTGATCTCAGTCTCCATGCGGAGGGTCTTGCAGAACTCGATGGCGTTGGCGGAATCAAGACCACGGGTGGAGTTGTCCCACGCTTGCAGTGGCGCTCTGCTGAGGGAGGCTTCGGCGATGGTAACACGCTTCCGCTCTCCACCAGAGACACCACGAAGGAAGTCGTTACCGACGCGAGTGTTGACGGTGTGAGAAATTCCATACAAGGCCATGATGACATCGCGCTGGTGCTCGGCGTACTGCTTTACACTGACGCCGCCTGGAATGTTCCTTGGCCGACGAGCTTGAGCAGCAAAGTAAAGAGTCTCTCCAACAGTCATCATGGGGAAATGAACATCGACTTCGGCAGTGTAGATGGCTTCACCGCGGTAGTTCTTGTTCATGAGCTCTGGGCTGACACCCTGGTAGTTGATGTGCGAGCTTGAGTCGACGACGAAACCGTGCGTCTCTCCAGTGATGGTCTTGAGGAAAGTCGAGCAACCAGATCCAGGAGGTCCAAGAACGACCAACATCTCGCCAGCCTCGACTAGACCATCACAGTGCTGCAAAATGTCGATCTTACGGCCCTTATCGCCCATGATCTTCTTGACAAACGCAGGTCCATCTAACCACACGTTACCAACAGTCTTCTGGTAATCGGTGTCGGTTCCGAAACCGTGGACGTTGAGATCGCGGAAAGATACACCCGCAGTTCGTGTAGGAGGCGCATTCTCGTCATTCAGCTGTAGGTTCAGCATAGCCTTGGTCCATGCTCGTGCGTTGAAGTGCTCGCCATGGGGGTCTAGAGCGGAATTGGGTGCCGCGTTGAAGGGATTTTGGTTTGCTGCAGATTGTTGACTCTGCGAGGTAAGTCTGCGAGCCAATTGGTGAACGGCCTCTTCTCTCCGAGCAGCCTCGGCGATTTCGTCGGCGTCATGTGTGTTGTAAGATCCATCCTTGCGGTCGGTGTGGTTGTTGTGACTTTGTGGCGAGCCCTCGACAGCTGCTATTGTGGATGCATCTGACTCTGCTTGCTCGTTGTCGTTGTAGTGGGAAGGCTGTCTGCCGCCCATCTCTGGTGGTGGAACGCCGCCGGATACAGCCTCGCGGTCCATGTTGGTTGTGAAATTGCCGACTAGACTCATGGTGGGCAAGAGATCGCCACTTGGGGCAGAGATTAGTCAGGCGAAGGAGAAATGCAAAGAGGGACAGGTATTAAAAGGTAGTAGAGTGTGTATGGCAGGGACAACAAGGCCAGGCCGGGGGGATGAGGTAGATGATAATAAAGGTAGCAGCAGCTACTGCTAATGAGGACCCAGGCGCCGCCCCAGTAAAGGATTTGGTCCAGCGGGCGGCGGACTGACGGCTTGGCTGGCGAGGACCAGCGCGCCGGATGGCCTGCCTGTCCGTCTCCGGTTCGCTTGCATCGAGTGCGCTAGTGTCACGCCTCGGATACGGTAAATACGATACCCATAAGGTCTTCTAGCCAATCAACGCGTACACACTACGGCCACGCGATATCGACTCATTCTACATCCACCACTGTCGTTTCGCGAAGAACGGTCCGAACAAAGTTACGTCCGTCGTCGTCGATCGCCGTTCGGCCATGCGGCTCTGAGTGCCCTCTCTGGTAACCACAGTGGTGGAACCTGCATCGCCCACGGAGTACTGTACTGTACAGTGTCCTCTGTATACAGCACCACATCCGAGCTAGTTCGTCCGACCAACGCCCGCGGCTGCCCCTAAGCCTTGGCCAAGCTCACATGCAGCCCATTTGCCCTCTGCGATAAGCGAAAGAGAAAGCGAATCCCCGCCGACCCCTAGAGAAAAAGAAGGTCTTACAGTCGACTGTCTCAGGCAATCGAGGGCTGCATACGCCATCGCAACACTGCACGCAACCGACAGAAACAAACACATCAACACTGTAACCTCATCTTGACGTCGTGCATCTCCGTTTCCCCTGCGCATGCTTGCATACCGCGCCAATCAAACGCACCCCGGTACGCCCCTCCCAAACGAAAGAGCCCCAGACCCCTCCCTCGCACAAGCACAGCGGACGAAAATCGCAGATCGCGAGATTCAGGGTGAAGGCAGAGTGGATCCAGCCCCCGGAGTGGTTGCGTGGCCATCTGCTCGGTGTTGGTGCTGCATCCGGTTCGACCTGCCGTTTCGTGGTGTTGTGGTGGCTTTTCAAGGTTGCCCGGGTGTTTGTGCTTGCACCATCTTTCTAGCGCGATTCGGCGGCGGATGTAGCGTCTTCCGTGGGACCGGAAGACGTTCAGCCCTACCCTGACACCTGCCATGTGCGCGGCACGGTGCTGGTTCAAAAGGCTTCCGGGTCCCGTTGCTTCTCGATACTGATTCTGGAATCTCCACTGCTGACTGCGGCTGCTTATCGTCGTGCCGCAAGAGAGGGTCTGTGAGGTCGTTGGTCCCCGGGATACGGCGAGGATAGCGGATCTTGGCCTTTCCGATCGCCGGGGGCTGGTCTGTCGACATATACCTCAAATGCGCGCGCGGTATGTTGTTGGTATGTACTGCTGACTGTGCGCGCTTTTTCGAGCTCGTTGTATGCCGTTTAAACGGTGTGCATCTTACGACTGCTTTATGCCGGTCAGCGCTGGCATGTTACGCTCCGGGTAATATTATGCCACTCACAGTCATCTAGGCAGTCATCAAGCCATCGATCGAGCTACTGGACTTGCGATAGGTTCAGTCAGTACTTGGCCTCTTATCTGCAGACGCCAGATATTCCTCAACGATCTGACGACTTCCTTGCAGCAGGGCCTCAGGCAGCGATTCAACATAATCAGTGCGACCAGCTGTTGCCCAACTTATCGCGAATACAACAAGATGGCCAAGAGTGCGACACTGGAGCCTATATAACAGTAGCAACCTTACTCAGGCGTTCATTAATTCCCACCGGTCTCATGCTGTGCAGCCCGTCGAGACCGCTACCGAAGAATTGATATGGCGATATTCTTACCCGAACCGCTGAGTGCAGCGAGACAGGAAACGAATTCAGGATCAAACCGCTGGATTTTCCAACATCGCCGAGACGTGAGAACCTATATATGTCGTAGCATCCGCAGTCGGGGACATGAAGGGGTCCGGCTTACTATTGCGTCTTCCCTCCGCACAGATCCGTCGGTCCGATTGCCCACCCAGATATATCTCTAACGTTGCGGGACGGCCTGGGGTAGTGCTGATGAGCTTATCGAGACAACCGACGGCACGTCTGAGCAATGGCCGTGTCGTTCCTTTCAAGACTCATTTTCATAATTACTTGATGGAAATTGAGTGTAAACCACATGACGTAAATGTGCACATTAAATCCATCCATAGATCTAAGAAATATCAACTTACATGCAATCTCCCCAACCCATTTCCCATCTCACAACTTCCCCTTCCCCTTCGCCAGTGGCCTCAAAATACACTGCTGAGTCATATGCGCCACACACCTCCCTCCCTCATCCCAAACCCAACCCTCGCCAAAACTCCTGCCCTCCCCCGCAACCTTACACCTCAACTCCCTCAGCAACCACCCCTCATCCAATTTCAACTCCTCCGTATCCACAAACAGCCTTAAGGAGAAATCCAAACTAGACACCGCACTCGCATCCCCAAACCACATATGATTGAACGACAGGGGTAAGAACGCGATGCCTAGATCCATGAGAAAAGTCAGGGAAGTCATGTTGTCGGTAGTAGTGGGAAGCTGTTCCCGGCTGCGGATCCAGTCCGCGGTGCTGCGCTCCGATGGCGCGAGCGTGTCTTGGGTGTGCGGTGCTGAGGCGGCGATGCCGTAGAGGTTCTGGGTGAAGACGCTGCCTGGGACGAGGCGTTGGTCGTAGAAGTGGGAGATTAGATTGAAGCTCTTTTCGTGGGCTTGCTTCAGCTTTAATGGGACGGTGCCCTTTTCCACGAGCGCGGTGAAGGCCGCCTCCGGTGTAGGACAGTCGCGCCAGTTGGGGTGGGTGTGCGTTTGGGAGTAGGATAGGAGGGATGTGGGGGAGCTGATTATGAAATCGGCGGTTGCGAGGAGGCATATTCTGCTCTCTTCTTTTTGGCCTTCCTTGGGAGTGCTCGTTTGGCTTACTTCGACTTGGCGCGTTGCAAAAGTTCGGGTCTGGCGTACTGTTCGTACGCTGGCGCGGAGAGGTCTGTCGGTGTATGCTGGACCTAGGTAGTTTCCTTGGAGGGAGTAGAGGTTGTAGCCATCTGGTACGGTGAGACAGGCTGCTTTGCAGGCTACGGCGATGGTGTAGCCGCCGTAGGCAATGTCTAGTGGATTGCCCATTTTCTGAGGGAAGTTGATCATTTCGAATTCGTTTTCGCCGGTTTGGCGTAGGGCTAGTTGCTCCATGAAGGGCTTTTGTGGGGGATTGGGTTGGTTGGTCATCTTGGTTGGATGGAGAGGTTTGACGTGTGTTGGGTGTGGCGAAAGTGTCAGATTGGTGTTTGAAGGGTTAGCAGGCGGCGCTGATGTAGTGCGTTGATTTTAAGATGACGGATCTCCAATGATAAAGCTTGTGATCGATGTATATATGTTATGGGGGATGTTGCGGCCGTTGCGGCCGTTACGGATGGAAGTCGTGCCGCTAGCGTGCTGCACCAATCATCTAACCTCGGCAGGACTTTCCGCTGGTAAGCAGCCCCTCACCCAGATCAAGGTACCATTGCGAGTGCTCTCCAGCATCAGTAATTTGGCGTATGTATGGAGAAAGTCTTGAAAAATGATTGATCAGTTGATAATATACAACATACAATTACCCCAATCACCAAATCCTCTTAGCAACCATCGCATACCGACTAACATGCCCAAAGCTCGTCCCTCTCTCCCTTTCCTCCTGCTCCTTCTTCCTGCCCTTTTCATCCCTCTCCCTCAGTCTCTTCAGCGTCTCAGGATCATCATCGTAAATCACCTTCCTCTTCTCCTCGTCTACATCCACAACGCCCCATCCCCCGATTCTCTTACCCCCTGTCTCCACATTCATCTTCTCTCGTTCCTGCATACCGTGGTATCGTTTGCGGCTGACGGATAGGAGGAGCATGCCGAGAATGAGTTTGAAAGCGAGGAAGATGAGGTAGCCGACGAGGAAGACGATGAGCATGGTTGAGCCGGCGATGAGGTCGTCGAGGGTGTAGGAGAGGGGGTTGTACCAGGCTTGGGAGGGGATGCCGGCACCGAAGGAGGAGCGACCTAGGGCGCGGCGGAAGACGTGGTCGATGTGGGCTAGTGCTGCGGTCGTTGTGGGGGAGGATGTCGGGTCCGAAGAGAGGGATGTTGATGTGGTGTGGAGGGGGGGCGGCATGTGCATCGCAATGAACATGTGGTAGGTTTGGATGGCAGCACGTATGAAGAGGCATGACAGTGGTATAACTGGCAGACCAAGACGTCGTGTCAAGTCCGCGTCAGCAAAAGCCTGTGAAGTGTTAGCTAGCAAAGTATACTAGGATTTGACGGCTTACATTAGAATAGTAGTCCTTTGCCAGAACGTCAAAGAACTTGCTATACACCTCTGGCTTGTACTGATTGAACTTGGTAATGTACGCATGCTTCAGCCAATCGACAAACATCTCGCTACCCAACACCAGCAGGAACGGGTTGAGTACCTGTGCAATGTACTTTGGGAAGATAGTAAAGCTCATAGGTATGATACTCGTAGCCTTGAACGCGGTCGCAGAAGACGAGTTGGCAGATCCAGTGAACATGGCTGTCCAAGAGGTGTCGCTGCTTTGGATACTCAAGCCACCTACTTCGACAACGTTGCGCATTGCAATGATGAGAAGCATGAGCCAGAGCTGGAAACGCTCTACGATATCTGCGCAGGTAATCTGGAAAAGGTTCTCCTTCTCAAATTTCTTGAACACCGTGCCCTTGATTTCGACGAATTGGTTGGACATCAAGAGCGTCAGTAGTGCGTTGGAATAGGAGTTGACGGCCACGTTCAGCGTTATCACTTGGTAGAACAGCGCTGTAGCGTGGGCGACGGTGTATACCAGTGCAAGTGCGAACATTCCAAATGGACGGAGGACCTTGCTTCTGCCGTCGGGATTACGGTCCAGCGTCTCGCGAGAAAAGAGGCATTCCAGCACATCTTGACCGACGGCTGAGAGCAGGCGATCACAGACCTCGAGGACGTTGTAGATGACGTACAGCTTGATAGCTGACTGTCCACGAATGCCATGATACATGCGACTCGCGTCGAAGCGCATCAAGACGAAGCAGCTGGCAATGACCAGTAGACCTTTCAGTATGTCTGCTTTGTGGCTGGGTTGTAGTGTAGAAGGCGTGGACTTGGTACGGCGGTGACGGAATCGGGAGTTTCGAGGCCGGCGCGCCCTGAGCTCGTTCATGTCTGGAAACTTGAATGTCGTCGACATCTGAGGATTCTGCCTGGCCGTCGTATTGGCCGAGGGAACGGTAGAAGATGATGGCTTCCGCGACATGGACGGAGGCACCTCCTCAGCAGGTGTTGGTAAAGGCGTAGGGCCATCGGTCTGCTTCCTGCGCTGCCAAAGGCGAGGAAGACCGTCGTAGACAAAAGCCCAGAGATGGCGAAACTCTTTCACAATGACTGAGCCCCACCATTTGACCAAAATGGCAATGGCGAGCAGAAAGCGAAGGGGCAGAATTGTCAAGACGTGCATCCATGCATCCAGACAAGCCAGCGCTCCAAATCCAAGTATGCCCTCGATCTTCAGTGGTATCCTTAGGAAGTTGAGCAAGCGCTCGTACTTTATCTCGGATGTTTCGTAGGGAAAGTCTGTCGTCGCGGGCCGGTATATGTACAATGGAGAGGGACGGCTGGCGGAGAGTTCTAGGGAAAGAAAGGTAGGCATCGACATTGGCGGCAACGGGAGAGCGATTGGTGTCGGAGAGACCTGCTCACGTATCTCGCGTGTCTCCTTGTGTCTGTCGTGGCCCTTGGACGTGCCATCTCTGTGGTCCAGACTCAACGGCGGAGGGATATGCCTGCTATGTCTCCGGTCCTCTGTCTCTTGTGTCTGGTTGTGTGTGCGTGATCGCGACCTTGACGTGGTCCTTCGTGGGAGCGAGGGCGTAGTGACGGATCGTGAGGAAAGCACCGGGCGGCCGTTGCGCAATTCGGTTGCAGGTGTCTTGATCAGGACGACTTCCTTCTCTCTCCTCGATTCACCATTGAGCTCCACCGGCCGCTCCAGCACGACGCCCAAGAGCTTGTTGCTGCCCTGGCCATCGCCATCTTCCAGCGGCGTGGCGTCTTCCAGCTCGTCTTCGAGAATCGGCGTGGCTGCTCGGATGGGAATGCTCGCAGGCTCGCTCGTGAGTTCCTGGATCTGGCGGGGACTGAGCTTGAGGATCTTCTCGTGCTCCGACACGCTGCTCCTCCGCCGCCCGTCTCCAGGCCGCTTGATGGGCCGTATCTTCTCGCTGGTGTCGGAGAGAATGGCCTCTTCGTGCACGCTGGGCCTCCTGCTCGGCGCACTGGAGCTGATTGCGCTGTTTGGCTCGGCTTTGGCGCCATTCGTCATGTTCTGCAGCGGTTCCTCGCTTTTGGCTTCATGGGCGCGGCGGCCCCTCGGAGGTGCCACATCGTCCGGTTCGGGCGTCGAGGAAGGCGTGGGGAGCTGGCCCGTCGTATGCAATTCACCGTATTTCCGTGTTTCTGCCCCGTTCATGGCGTGAGGGGCTGAAGTTGCTGGTTGAGTGCATCGTGTATTGCTCGAAGTGGTGCTGGGCAGTCGCGACGTGTTCGGGTCGAACCGAGGATCGGGAAGCACCAACATTAAGCGGACCCCGGCCACCACCAACCTCGTACCCTCAACAACCCATCTAGGTGAAAGTGCTTCCAACGATTTCATTATGGATTGAAGTCTACAGGAACAATGCGCCACACCTTCAATAGAGGTCTATGATCTAATACTCCACCTAGGCGGCCTGATTGCCTTGGGCCAGATGTTTTCGCCTGCCTGGCCTGTGAAGGTCGATACCAATGACAGCGAGCCAGGTCATCGCCAGGACAAGAAGACTCACTGGTCTCGCAGTTCACATGGCAATTGGTAGCGATGGTAACTCACAGGTACTCATCGGGTGTTGGTGGAAGCGAACGTTCAGAGCTTGTCTTCGTATCTATGACACCTTGGACAGAAACCTGCACCAAATGTGGAAGCAACGCGACCTCGACATTCGGAAAAGGGCCTATCCTTCTTCAGTGCTATCAAATCCTCGTCTACAATTCTACTTGTCGACTGGAACGACGCGAGCATGACTACCGCGTTAGTTTTAGTCAAGACAACACAGGGAAACCGACCCTGGAGAAGGTCTTCTCGGCGCTCCCATCGTGTCGACCAAGAAGGGCAACAAGAGGGTGAATAAACCTAATTCTCATAGCCGGATGAGGAGTGCATCAATTCACCCACGGAGTCTACCACATTGCTCGTTGCCGGCCTCAAGGATTTCTTGCAAGACTGACTTCAAAGAAACCAGACAAGAACGTCTGATGCAAACAGCCGGATTACGCCTCGCGCCGTTCCGGCCGACCCCGTCACATCCCTCCCTCCCAGATACGTTGGAAGGGTTCTTTGACAATCCGGAGATGTTTCGGTATACGAAGATCTCGTCAAGGCCTGCATCCAGACCATCTTAGACAGACTTTCTTCCGCAGACCTCGACTGTACGTCGTGCAACATATATGCCTGCTTACGCCATCTGCATGCTCGACTCGACCGCAACCAGATCTTAGTGTATCACCGCACTGCACATCAATATAAAAGAAAGATGGTACAGTTTGGCTACAATCTATGCGATTTCAACGCCGCGAACTGCGCTATCTGATCGACTCACCTTCTTTCCGGCTTCAATTGACTGCGCATACAGCCAAATCCATGTCCGCATGCGCCGTACTACCCGAACCTCGTATTCCTCACAAGCACGGAAAGCTACATACAGCATCAAGTTTGGTACGCCTAAAGTCACTATGGATATGATATGGCAAGGGTCAGCATGTGTAGCTTATCGTAAACAGACTTCTGTAGCTATCCACAGGTTCATCCATGTTACTCACACACCACATGGCATCTCGCACAGCAGCCCGTAGTACAACGCTACACTAGACATCAGCAACACCAAAACACTTATCCCCAGAGTATAGTCAAACCCTTGCTTTTGCGAAGCTATACCAAACTCATAGTATGCTGCCTTAAAAAAGCAAAGGCAACCTCCATGGGTGCCCGTCGATCAGCACCCGATCTACGATATCCTTCATGCACGACACCTTCAGCTTCTTCTAGAATCGCCACTGGGGCGCTCGAGGAAGTATTCTTCCGTCCAATACTTTCATAGTTGGGAATCGGCAGATCGCCATGCACGGCACGTGCCGCACAGCTGGCTGATATCGGGCTAGCTAGGGCTGAGAGTATGTGGAGTGTTGGGGGTTTACCCGATGATAACCCGGGTGGTGGTGGTTGTGGTTGTGGTTATGTGTCTTTCTTCTTCGCCCTCATTCTGCCTCCTTCCTGTTCGATCGCCAGAACGAGTGAGATCTAGTGGGACTTGATGTCGATGATGCCTCGACTGGAGGATGTCGACACCTGCATAGAACATACTTCTCTTTTTGTGACGTGCATGAGTGAGGCTGTACTCTATTCGGTAGAAGTCACATCAAGATAGCTTCCATAAGATCAGCGAAAGCCGTGTTGTGGTAGACATAAACCCCATATACGAGCAAGCCAATAGACCTGGCACAATGCCTTCACACTCCGTTCAAAACACGGTGAGTCGCTACCGCCTTCCTTCGCCCCTCATAGACTCACGCTCTTCGCAGCGGAGATGCTGGTGGTAGCAGGGTCTACGCGGGTCCATGCAGATCCGACTGCGCTCGCTACACACCACTATACCAAGTCCACAGTGCGTCCGTTCTCGCATGGAGAGTGTTCGAGACCAGAAGCCAGTCAAGTGACTGGCTCAGTAGCAAAAGAGCCCCAGCCTGTAAACAAGAACACTATCTGTTCCTTCCCTCATCTTCTGCACACATATGCCGTAAAACAACCAACGGCACAGTTAGCCTGTTCGCGGGCAGACAAAACAACCATCTCGCATGCTGCCTGATTCTTGTGGGCTTCGCGCTCGAACTTGAAGTCTTTTCGCGAGGGACTTTGGGTGTGTATATTGGTGGGCTGATAAGTTGATCACCGCGGTTGCTGCCTGAGTTTGAGTCTGGGCCCTCATTCACATCGCATCACTTGTTCCGTCTTCCTCTGCCTACACCACTGCATCTCGGCTGCAAGACGACAATACCTGCGCAGAGCCGGCACGCCACTCCTGCCCTCGATGCATCAAACGCCATCCTTGAAACCATCGCTGGTTTGCTCTTCCTCGTTGCTGTTATTTCCTTCTTTGTATTCGTTGGGTATTTCTGCATGCAGATACTTTTCCGCTGATTACCATCGATGCGACATGTAGGTAACGTCAGTCCCACACTTACTCTACGACATGAGTTCTAGGGGGTTGAAATCACCTGTAGACTACTTGTTGTGACACAGGAACCCTTGAGTCGTGGACTATGAGGTAAAGCTGCGTATTGTTGGTTCTTGACCTTTTACTCGTCGAGTATGGGTCAGGAAAGGTGATGGTTTGTCGTTTATCAACTAATCTTTTCTTGCTTAAGTCTTCGTCAATGATGATTCGTTTATCCTGCTTTCTCATCGGTACAGATAGGCTTGATGAAGGAGATTGCCTGGAGTTCCTGATGGACCAACCATCTGTGTTCGTGCTATTGTCTAGGAAACGATCGGCCCCTAAGAGTACGTCGTCCTGATTTTGCCACCTATCGTTGGAGTGCGAGCGTGTTCTAGATGTTGGGTGGCTGTTACAAGGCTATCAAAGTGGTTGCCCATAGTTGTTTACAGCAAGTTGCTGAAGACCCTTTTGACCTCGATGTATTGCTCAAAGTGCGATGCCGTATGGTGGCGGATCGTAGTCGGGACGAGAATAGATCACTCCTGTTCAAGGGGAAGAACAATCACCTGGTATGATAGACTGTAGAAGCCTATGTTAATTCCTTGATCTACATGCTCCACCCCGGTGCAAGCTGCAGATATCTGTCCAATCTTTCCCTTGCATGGTGTACTCGTGATCACGTTGGCGGTGTGCTCCACTTATGAGAATATGGACAGGGTATGGGCGATCATCTCATCAATACCGGCCTTGACTCTTTTCTGGCAGTTTTCCGGGGTACATGCAAGCCACAATCATCGATTCTTTTGCCCGTCAATACAGCGATCAGCACGAGTTTTCCCGTCCTGGACCACGCATACTATCGTGGTACAAGAAATCATCTGCACACCCCAAACTCGTGCGTGCTGGGATATCCATAGCTTACGTGCATGAAGTGGAGGTATTGCACCTAAGCGATGTAGGGATGTGAAGACAGTTTTCGTCAGGCTTTTCAGCCACGTTAATGGCGACATAATCGACTCCCCCAATTTGGTTCTGGAGAGAAGGCTTTCAGCATCTTCTCCGCAGCATGAGTCCAGGCATTGCAGGACCACTCTGCGCTGGACGTTATTCAAACGCCACACACTCTTATATGTAGTCCGTGCAAACAGGCTCTGGTTCCGATGGCGCTAAGAATAGGCAAAAGCACTGCTCGCAGAGAGAGCTCAGCTGGAATGTCGAAGATAAGTGCTTCACATCCTGTGGGTGGTCCTCAGATGCATAATAGCGCTAGTACAAGACTGGAGTTTCCGGATGTGATGCATTCGGTAGTCAGCATTGCGGGATGTAGGTCCAGCCAATGAAGGCAACGGAGGACCACCAAGGGGCTCTTGACGCCCGCCTGTTGCAGATTAATGGATCCTTGTATTAAGCGAGAGTCGCAGAGGAGGTAGCTCATCGTGATCCTGATGTTCGTGGTATTCGAGTTGGTTGTGCCGCTCGAGCGCATTTCTGTAAGGCTGGATCCCAAGACACTGGATAGCAGCGATCGATAGCCGTAACACCACTGACTGGACAGACATTGGACTGCTTCGCGGGTGCGAAACCAGCAACAAGGCCTTGGGAACGGGGAAGCTGTGGGTAGAATACCGTTGCTCGAAGATTGGCTGCCAACGCATAGGGGGCTGCGTCAGGAGTTTGCTGTGCCGCATGCAAGCAGGATGGGCGTTCGAAGGGTTGCCCTGGCATTAAGGTACCGACACGAGGTGTATGCGTCTAGGGAAATGAGCCACAACTGTAGCCGGATCCAAAGGTGATTTGGAGACAGCACTAGGGTGGGCGCACTGCAGCAATAGGTACTGACGAGGCTGAAGAAACCCACCTGGCTGCATGAAGCACGCAGTAGCCGCGTGGTTGTGTCCACATTGCTGCACGTTCGGAGGAAGCGGAAGTCTTCTAGAACGCGACCTCTTTAGCCTGGTGTGGGTGTAGTCAGCCGAAACTTTGTCCCTACGCGCACGCGAACAGACACGTGCAACTGCAGCGGAGTGCATCCGCGAAAGGGTCTGTTGTCTGTGCCCACGGTTGATGAGGTGTCGTGCAACATTATGTCAGTGGGAGGAACTGTTCGGGCCGGAGCGGTGGTGGACAGGGATTTATGCATGTCGACTCAGAAGGTCCCGAGAACAAGAATGCTATGACAATGAGGCCGTGGTGTTCGTCGCGAGGAGTGAGAAGTGAGAGT